TTTTTTTTTTTAATATTGAAACGGGATGTGTTTATATCTACTAATTCATTTGTTATGGTCACTATTTCATTTCTTAAGGTTATCAAAATTATGTTTAAAAATATTGATTATGTTTAATTTAATTGTTAAAAGTAATTAATAATTAATAGAACTATTAATATTTATTATTTAATAAATTAAAATCAATTTATAAACTAATATTTTATATATTATAACTATTTGTTTAATAAAAAAATTAAAAACATCAATTAAATTAAATACAATTTTATGAAATTTATGTTTAACCATTTATACTGTACATTAAAAGTACAATTTGTCATATAAATTTATTAAAACATCCTAAATAAAATAACAAAAAATTTAGTTTCATTAGAAGTATTTTAATAAATTCATAGAGTAAATTACAATTTAATTTGACAATATTCATTTATAATTATAATTGTAAATTTTTTACCTTTTAACATCTTAAAAATATATAAAATGTATTTTATATATTTAATATTTATTTTAATTAATATTTTATAAATTTTTAAAATAAAAAAAAAACAACAAAAAAACTATTATTTAACAAAACCTACATTTTTATAAAATATACAAATCAGGCTATAAAAAAACCTTTTTGTTCTTCTATTTATATCAGTTTCTGATGTCAGGTGAGTTACGTTTTCTAAAATTTTCAGGTAAAAAGACTTTGTTTCACGTCAGTCACCTACTCTGAATGACCAAAGTGGTCAGATCCAAATCATCTTCTCCTTGGTTGAAATTGATGAAGGCCCATCCTAAGCTAGCTAAATTCAATACTGATAATGACAAAATCCCATTCAACGCCACAATTTTCATTTTGGAGAAGATATGTATGTGGTATAGATACTCTTTCATGGGAAAGTCTCCAATATAACAGTAATATATGGACATAGTATAGCAGACTAATTGCCAATCATCCGTGTGGCCAAGTGGTCAAAACTTCTTTTTGAAAAATAAAATGATGATGTATTTTTCGTGAAGTTTAAGTTTTAGATTTGATTTTTTTTGGTTACATAATCAAAAGTAATTATTTTTTATTATTTATCACATTTCACCTATATATTATGCGAATTGAATTTAAGATTTTTTATTTTTAACAAGAAAAATAACCACTAAATTATTTAGATCATTAATAAATTTAACATTCTTTTATCTTTTAAAAACAGATATTAATATTATCAATATATTTATCACTTAAAAAAAGTATAACAAACTAATTAAATTTTGATGCTTCCAAAAAAGCCCAATAAAATTTTGACTAAGAAATAAAACAGGAATCTATTTTTATGATATGTCATATTGTTATTAATTTATTGTATAATTGGAGTAATATAATTATTATATAAAAGACTTTCTCCTATTTTGATATAAATGTTGTCAAGTTTTGGATAGGTTCAACCCCAACTCCTTACAGCAAAGATAACGTGACTTGCACCTAATTTCATTGTTAACTTTTTTGCGTTGTGGACTTTAAATTATAAAAAGTGTTTATTAAAAATAAAAATTTTCAACAATTATTGGCCCTAAAAAAACAATAATGTTGATGAGGTAAATAAGAAGTTTGATTTTTTTAAAATAAAATTTTATGTTTATCTTTTGCAATCAATTAATCTTTTGGACCAAACTCTCTCCTGTGTTTGTCCTAATGGTGAAGATTGATACATACCAAAACGGTAGCAAATGCAGGAACTATAGAGAATCTAATCTCCTGTGTTTAATCTGTCAAAATTTTCATAACATCAAGATATAAATATGGACATGGAATCAAGCAGTAAGGAAGAAAAGCATCAGAAGATCTGATTCTCACCAAATTCATTTTTTATTTATTACATTTACAGATGCTCAAGCCACAAGGCCAGTGGCTTGAAATTTGTTTGCTATCTAAATTTTCAATTTATACACTAGTAATCAAGCAACATAATCACAAACCTTCACACTAAAGGAAAAAAAAAAAAAAA